TTTGTATGGATGTCTGGATGTCTGGATGTGAACATGTTTGTTACTCTTTCATGCAAAAACTACTGAACGGATTTTGTACATTTTACGGTCTCAAACATAGACCCGGTTTGGGCACAGCAGCAGCAACATTGTGTTTTCCAAACATTTATTTATTTATTTATTTATTTATCAATATTAATGTCAAGAACTTCAGAAATATTGAAAAATCTTAATTTTAACTGAAAGTACTTGATGTCATAATTTTAAAGTTGTCAAATTAATGTTTACGATGTCAATACATATATACAATGAATTTACGTGGAACGACACACGAAGAGTTTTGACATTATCCATTTTTTGAACTTATTAACTACTCGTAGTAGCGAACTTTTAACAGTGCGCGTTCAAGTCTCGAGCTAACAAATATGCGCTGTATGATAAATTTTGTCCGTGTGTGCGTGTGCGCCGCATTCGTATTGGCGCGCTCACATACAAACCGCGCTCGGTGCGTTTCTATGAAGATGGCTTACTCATTTATATTTACTCTGCTGATAGCTCGTCAGTCGTGACGCGAAATGGAAAAATGAAACTTAAAAGATTGGTTGTTATTTATTCTAGTTACTGTTATCCCTATAAAACTGTTAACAAAGATAAACTTAGGGTGGGTTGCACCATCTTACTTTGGCTTTAAGAAACGTCAAAAATCTGTCAAACTCCATACAAAAAACGCCGGTTATCGATAAAGTTACCGTTAAAGTTAGGTGGTGCAACTCAGCCTTAATCACCACAAATACAATTTTTTTCGCTTAAATAGATTCACCCTTTTCGGTTTAGCACTCCCGTGACGTTCGATTGACACCGTTTTATACTAAATTCTGCTTTTTTGGTGGTCTTTAGTGTTTCTTTTGGGACCTGAGACGGTTTTTATATTTCTTATTGTTACAACGAATTTACATAATAATTATTTATTTTCTTTTTTATGCAAGTCAGTAATTTTTCATTATGTCCGTATTATTAAGCAAACATTACCACTTGTCGATAGACATCAAGTCTTATTTTCTTGATCAATAAAAAATATGTTGAAAGCGCTCGCACCCTTGTCTGTCCACGTGACGTTAATAAGCCGTTAGTGGTTGGCAGTGTTAAGTAGGAAAGAAAAATAATATTATCGATATACAGTAGAATATCGAGTTGGAGTGTTTGCCTCTCATTCTTGGTTAATTATCGTGAGAAAAAATAATAATGAGCACGATAAAGGTAAATGGAGGACATAGAGAGCATACAACACCGACATAAAAGATATTATATAAAATTGAAATGGTAGAATTTAGGCGGTCATAGGAAGCGGGAAAAATAAGGACAATATCTGACCAGCCGTAAGAAGAACCATATCATATGAATAAGAAAGACAATGCCACACAATAATGATAATACCTATTGCAAACAAATATGCCTCTTTGCAAACAATATAAATTTACCTAGGTACTTAAGAAGCAAAAGATTATTGAAGAAAAAAAAACGGTTTTTCAATAAAATATTAAGTAAAAATTGTGTAGAATTACTGTTTAGTTCACATCAAATATAAAAAGGGATAACAATTCTATCCCTTTTTCTAAATATTTCCAATACATTAGAAAACATACAGCAGTACAAAAGAAATGCGATAAGTTACAACTTAACACGACCTGTAACGCCCCCGGGACTATTGTCGACGGTAATCACTTACCATCAGTACCTCTAGCATGAACAACTTTCGTCTTCGAATCGTTTGCGTATTCGACAAAATTCGATACTCAACCTTCGAATTAAACAATAACGTGACAATTTTGATTCTCAAAAAAGTTTCGTTCAACCATGTCTCATACTAAGTTCACTTTACGACACGTTCACAAGGGCGCTGTTGTAGTTTTCGTGCTAAATCTTTTGATGGCGATTCGAGTACGCAAACGATTATAACTCGAAAGTTTTTCGTGCTAGCCGTACCAGTGATCCGTCTGCTCGTTAGCCTCCTGTCCCATAATAATTAACTTTTAAAAAAAATAAAACCGACTTCAAATGCGTGAACACAAAAAAAAACTAAAAATTAAAAATATTGCGTATAAAAAAGTTCATCCCCAATTTTCCACCCTTGGGGGTGAAATATTTTCTTCAAATTCGCATGAAACCCCCCTTTTGATAATACCTATTCAACAAAAAAATAATCGTTCAAATTGATTTATAATCGGCGGAGATATTGCGTATAAAAAAGTTCATCCCCAATTTTCCACCCTTGGGGGTTGTTTTTTCTATTATTAAATTTAAATGGGACCACCCTTGAGGTATTACCTATACGCCGAAAAAAGATTTGTTCAAATCGGTTCATAATTGGCGGAGTTATCGCGTAACAAACATAGAAAAAAAAAACATACGGGTCGAATTGAGAACCTCCTCCTTTTTTGAAGTCGGTTGAAAAAACGATTGTCTTGCTGGTCCATTTCAGTCTAAGGCCCAGAACAGACGGTGAAACGCAACTGCAACGAAACTGCAACTGCTAGTTACTTTTGAGTTGCATCTAAGTTTCTGCAGTAGCGTCTGTTGAGAGACCACACATGACGCGACCAGTTTGAAACTTTCAGTTTCAGTTTCATTCATCAGAATCATCACAAAGTTGCAGTTTCGTTGCAGTTGCGTTTCACCGTCTGTTCTGGGCCTAAGAGCCAAAGCAGACGATGCGTTGTTGAGTTTGTACTTACGGTGCGTCGCTGGAGCGGTGTCGCTGCGTCGTCTTACGTAGAAAATAATTGTCTGTAGCGGGTACACTTTTGCAGTGTGGTACTATTACAACAAAAGGCCAAAACATCACTTACAATCCAATACTCTCGATAATATACGATTAATGATAACAACACTAGTGTGAAGTCATGACCGAATAGAGGGTTTTGCACTTATTTCCAATTTAGGTTCGGGCTTTTACCCACTTTTCTGGGTTAAGTAGCATTATTTTTGGGTTAGGTGATTTCTTGTTATATTGCTTCAGACATGTTTATGGTGTAAGAAAAGATGGAGTCGGCGTGTGGGAATAAAATTTATAGCAAAGATTACTAACTTTGCTTTCTATGCCTCACATGTTTAGTTCTTGGGTTTTAAGAGGAACGCCTGGAACGAGCTGGCTTAACTTCCAGATTTGACATTATATTTGTTTGCGCCTCAGACTAGCAGGTACAGCTGGGATAGGTAGTACTCGTACTCAAATGAATAATTTTGATTTGAATTTAGACTATAACGTTTATTTGACGTTTACAATGGTAATCGAATGAATGTTAATAAGTGAAGTAATGAAGTGAAGTGAAGTAGGCGAAATTTATGTCATCGCGTTTTATACATGGAGGACAGCGCCATCTATCGGAGTACCGAAGAACTGTGCGGCACCGGTCGATGTATGTCTTGCTAATCTGTGACGTGTCGTTTCTCCTCCAGTTGCCGCTGGATGGCGTTAGTGTTAACATAATAATATTAATGCAGCTAGAAGGTATTATAGGTACTTTATTTTTACACACATTACTAGTCTTCAAAACCAATATCATTTTATTTTTTTTCTTCCAAATTCGAAGGCAAAGAAATATTAATTTTTGTCTCTAAATGTAGGCCACAATTTATGCTGCACTAATGGCATTGTTTCTAAAACTCACATTAACTTTTGCTTAAAAATGTCACCGTAATATTGTGAATTCCATCAGATAATCTGACGTAGTTAAATTACAATCTAACCTAACCTAACCCACTGTTAGTTTACAATCTCACGCGTTATATTAGCGTGTTTAAAAGCCCTATTTCTTATTACAAGTTACCGCTTGTAAAAATATAGCATTAGAACAAGTTATTGTTTTTTGTAATTAAACGTAGGTAAGTGTTCTATTTTTAACTGACTTAAAAAAAGGAGGAAGTCCCTCCCCCGTTTATAACTTGTATATTTGGCTTATGAAATGTTCAACTAATCCTACTAATATTATAAAGGCGAAAGTTTGTGCAGATGTTTGTTAATCTTTCACGTAAAAACTACTGTATAGGCTATAAATTATGCCAATCTGTGGCACTAAATTACACGCGGGTGAAGCCGCGGGCAAAAAGCTAGTGATGTATATGTCAACGCGAAATTGTGAACTCTGTCAGTTTGCCTTTGGATTGTGATGTAACCTCGCTGTGTGTATTGATGGAATGATTATTTAATTAGAAGTCATGTAGAAATTTCTTTACGTAGGTAACGATGTTTAAAGTGAGTTTACATTGGTATGTTAGAGCCAAAAGTTTTGGCCCAAAATACACGATGCGCTGCGGCGGGCGTTGCGACGCCATGCCAGATCTGTGTTGCGCGTCGTCTAAAGGTCATAGCACACTTATCAACTCGGAAAGGGATCTACAACGTATCGCCTTTCGCTGGACTGTCAACCGCGAAGGGATCATAGCCGTATCAACTAAAGCCTGGTCCGTGAGCACGTAGAATTTTGTCCAATGACCCCAAGCTACCCATCCTTATCGCTCGCGCGTAAATATGTTGCTGTCGCGCTTGCACACTCACTGCGATAAGGATGGGTAGCTTGGGGTCATTGGACAAAATTCTACGTGCTCACGGACCAGGCTTTAGATAGCGGTCAAGGTAAACGCCTCGCAGTTGATAGCGTGCGAAAGGCGATACCCTTTCAGGGTTGATTGGTCTGCTACGACCTTTCGTCGCCACTGCTGGAGCAAGGCTTTCTAATTTACCGAGAGCAAATGGAATATTTGGTATTCTTCCTACCGCGAAAAGAACAGAGTGGTAGGTATGCTATTCTGCCGTAACTACGCAGTAAAATGTTGTGTAGGTACCCATTAAAAAACTACATTATAATGTAATAGGACAGGAACTGTAATGCCAATAAAACCCAAAATCGATTATGTTTTCTTTATTGTTTTTCATTTTCATAAAATCCACGTCTTGTGGACAACACGAAACTAGTATTTCAATAAAATACATTACAACATCAAATAAGCATCCCTTTTTAAATATGCAGTCAAAGATTTTCTTTATTGTGGCGATTTTATTTGTGGTGATCGTCAATGCTACGTCACATCCAAAATTCCGCGTTATTCAAGGAGTTGATGATGAAGACAACAAATATCCTTACGTGGTTTGCTTAGCTAGGCTTCAAACTCAAGTTCCTGGCCTGGAGTTATACCGTGGGTGTACAGGCACTCTTATAGCTCCAGAATGGGTATTAACAGCAGCGCATTGTCTGGTACCAGAGTTACAGTTGGATATCGTCAGATATGGAAATATGTCCATCCCGAGGAATGCTACCGATTCCACCAGGAGAATTCTGAAGAGAATACCCCATCCCAACTACAAAGGTGCCTTATTTATTGAATCCATTGATTTATGTAAGAACGACATCGGTTTGGTTTTAGTGGAAGAAATACAGATGATGGTACTTGGCAAGATATCGTCTGTAGATTACAGGACTTTAAGTGGACAGAAAGTGACGTATGCTGGTTACGGAAGAACTGGCAAAAGGAAAAAAAATAAGTCATTGGAAATACAAGAATCGTTGGTGGATGAGTTTAAGCCACTTCAGCTGGGTAAATGCATGATCCGTTCTTGTCCACAATATCTAAAATTCTGGTCGGTTCTATGTGCGGTGCCCAAATGTACGTCGAAGGGTCATAGGCCATCAGACAGGGACTCGGGTGGACCTTTGTTTCTGGATGACAAAGTTGTCGCAGTACTCACTGGTGTTAAATTTTTAATTATTCATGATAAACTTTTGTATGTGCTTTACACTCCAGTTAGTCCTTATTTAGACTGGATCAGGACAACTGTGAACACTCACGAAAGTGCTGAAACAAGACGTGTAAGGAGAAACAATATCTCCCGTGATCCGTTAGTTGGTGATCTTGAATCTATTCGAGTATTATGAAGCTCTTTTTGTTTGTTTAGTTGTGTTTAAAAGGTAATACAAATCTACACTAGAATAATGTAACGTTGTTTGCTATCAGTTGCTATATACTTTTTATGAGATTAGTCCAGTAAATAAAGCATTATAGATGGAAATCCGTGGAACACAATTTTTGACTTCGGGACTTTATTTAGACTAGTTAGGAGGTGAACATAGCAAAAGTCCCCGTCCTTAGCCCTTGAGCCGGCGGGGCGAGGGGGGTTTAAAGGTACCAATTTTCGGTTTTTCGCTTAATCCTCGGAAACTATGCGTCCTAGTGGCATGACTATAATGAACCAAAAAAAGCTTATTCAATTTGTTACAGGTGAGATAGTCAAGTTTTTCTATATCTTGTATAGTTTTCGCGGCATCTGCTCTAGAAGGTCTGTAATATTGGAAATTTTATTTTTGTCTTACATGTTTCCATCAGGAGAAAATCGACTAAATCAACATTGAGCTAATATTCTAGACATGCGGAAGCATGTTAAGCCTAGTTCCAGTGAGGGGACTGCACCGTAAGTATATTTAGACGAACCAATTGGAGCCACTTTTGACTCCTCATCACTCAAAAAGTACTGTGCATTAACACTTCAAAGGACATTGTCAGAAACCGCCNGCTCATGTGTTAAAACTTGCAAGATAAACATCAGCTTCAAATTTCATAAATATACCTCAAACGGTTCTTTAGGTATTGACGTCTAAAAATCTACATGGCTGACCTATAACACCAAATTCCAACCACTTCCAGATGACCTTTAAGGTTCAAATTTGGCATCCAGATAGGTAGTTATGTAAATACAAAGGAACAAATAAAAAACCAGTAAATTTTAATATTTCACAGGTGATATATAGATTTTAGTGCCCTAAATGTCGATTTTTGAACGTCAATACCTAAATAACCGCTTCAGGTATATTTATGAAATTTGAAGCTGATGTTTATCTTGCAAGTCTCAACACATGAGCCTAATTTGAAGTGTTAATGCATAGTGCTTTTTGAGTGATGAGGAGTCAAAAGTGGCTCCAATTAGTTCGTCTAAATATACGCACGATGCAGTCCCCTCCCTGGAACTAGGCTTAACATGCTCCCGCATGTCTATAATGTTTGCATATTGTTTATTTAGTCGATTTTCTATAAATACGAAAGTTTGTGTGGATGTCTGGATGTTTGTTACACTTTCACGCAAAAACTACTAAACAGATTTTGATGAAACTTTACAGTACAGTACAGCAGTACTAGGCAGTCTGTGTTCAACTATCACTCGGGTCGGACGTTCCTATCGCAAGACCTTTGGTTCACTCAGTTCCGATACGACTCTAGTGCTGTGTGTAATTATTTTCGTTAATACACTGAGTTTATTAATTTCTACGAGTAGATTTCATTTTGCCTGAGACCTACGCCATGAACCCTGAACCAGAAGACCCTGTCGCCAGCGACAGCGACGCTCATCCATACCTGGCGTCGACCAGAATAACAATGTATAGGCTATAATTTATGACGATCTGTGACAAACTAAATTTCAAGCGGGTGAAGCCGCGGGCAATACTACACATTTCATACTAGCTTTTTGCCCGCGACTTCTTCTGCGATGAAGTGGAAAATGGTTCTAATAGAATTAAAATATTCTAAGAAAATTAATTTTGTTAAATGATTATATTTATTGATATAAAATCTACAAATTAGTATGTTTAAATATTTGAATACTTACAAAATTATGAGATCTTTCTAAAACAAAATTAAAACACTACACCTGCCGCAGATTTCTTTGTAAACAATGTTTTTTTGTTTTTCCTTCAGGTGCTAAAATCACCAGGCTATTGTGTGCGCATACTCTGGAGTATTCCACATACAACTGGTCGTCGGAGAAGCATAGATTTCCATTAAGTCTACTCCCGCTACCATATAGAACTCCGTTAAAACTCGTGAGGGCGCCAACACTTACTTTTGTATCGAAAATTAGTATGAGCAGTTGCGCACGCGGTTGCCCGTTGCAGGCTCTATGCAACCACACTATTTTAAGCATGAGATGGGAAACTGCACTCTCTTGAATTCTCTTGAATTTGATGGTGTTAGGGGAATCCTAGGAATGAATACAGACTTTCCAATGGAATCTCCTCATCAATATTGCAAAATTGCGAGTTGCAATGCAATGTTACGTTTTCACTTGTTATTTTAATATTGTTATCTGACCTTGATTTTTCAAACACGTGTCAAAATAAAAAAAATAATTTTCGGCCGTTTGGTGTAGTGGTTCGAAACGGACTACTATTCCAGAGGTTGCGGGTTCGATTCCCGTACAGTACAAACATTTGTGTGCATGAACATATTTGTTTGTATTGGACTGGGTGTTTTCTATGTATAATATGTATGTATGTATTTAAAAAAAAAAGTATTTAAGTATGTTTATATCCGTTGTCTAGTACCCATAGTACAAGCTTTGCTTAGTTTGGGACTACAAGCGTAGTGTACAATGTCCAATGATATTTATAAAAAAAAAAAAAAAAAAAAAAAATGAAAAGTACTAAGGAATATTTCATTGATATCAACTTAGAAACAAGCACAGATCACAGAAACTAAAGGGAAATGTGACATGGGACAAATTGGAACATATTGCTTGTGAAAGCAATGATGACAGTAGCGACGTCATTATGTAAACAGTTTATATTGCTTGCATAGTACTAAAGATTATTCGAACGTTGAATACTGATACCGCAATGGATAATGAGCACATAATTTGATTTCTTTGTGTGTGTGAATTTCTAATACGACACTGAGTTTCGAACTCAGCGCATTACTTAGCATCTCTCTATATTTCTATGGAACCAAGTTATCTCCAAAATAACATTCCACACCTTTTTAACCTAGTCAGGTAATAATTTTAATAAAATACGAAGCACGTCATCTATCAATAGGATATATGTATATTTTAGAAGTTAATAAATTATGCATAAAATATAAACACTTTAGAAGTTTAGTTAAATCGTAGAATTTCTGAAAAACAAGTACTAAAATCGTACTGAAAAAAAAAGTATTAATATGTTATCTAATTTATTTATTAAACGTCGAATTTTATCAAAGATTTTGGACTAAAGTTTTTGAAAATATTTTATAGCCAACATAGAAAAAAATTAGGATTCTAAATCGTGAAAGAAATTTTTTTCGGAGCCTATTGCCTCCAAACAAACAAACAAACAATTAAATCTTTCCTCTTTTATTAGTATAGATTTAACAACAAAACAAAACGCTTCTTTTTCTTCTTCACGAAACAAAACTCAAAGCGGATAAATAAATAAACAAATCTTTGGACAATTTCACAGCGCCATCTAGTCCAAAAGTAGGCAACCAATATGCTTGTGTTAAGGGTGCTATCATAATGGATATACTTTTTTATAATTTATTTATTAAATTAAATACATGGTACCTACATATTATACATAGTTACACCCAGATCCGTCAAAGAAATTAAAATTCATCATTTCAATTTCTGCTCGGCCGGCCGACTCGAAACAGCCTCTCGGCATAGTATCAAATGTATTTGGTCGCCGTACAAATCACCGCTTTACGACACGAACGCACGTAAACGTCACGGCGGGAAAAATGACACAGGTCCTGCCTTGACGGGCGCTCGCGCCATACTAATCGATGTCGGCTTGCGCATTGTAATTTATACTGATATTCACATCAATATTTTGACAAAGTGGTTACTAATATTTAAACAATAACTGTAGAAATCAATTCTACAATGAATATTCTTTATTTTGGGATACTTTTATTGCAGTTATTGCTGTGTTTTTAAACCAAAAACCACGATCAAAATGTGACGTTAATCTTCAAATTTGCCAAATTATTTTTAGATTTTACTCAATAATGGTAATGAAATTCAAGAATCTATTTCATTAATGGACTACAAGAATATATGTCCGATGATTACTATATATTTTTAAGCTTATTATAGGAGCGTAAATAATAGATACAGGACTTTGAAAATGAGTCTGCGGCAATTTTTCCGTAAAATGGTTGTGGGAGATGGGGCACTGTGAATTAAGCAAAAGAGTTTTAGTAAATCCGTTTCATTAATGGTCAACACCAAGGATTGACCTATCTTTCGCAGTTATTAAATAATCTCTGGGTGTTGCTTAAGATAGTAATTCATGCTTCCAAAATCTTAGAAATTCGCACGAAAATGTAAAATGGCTCTTAATGTAAATTACTAATTTTAGCGAACGATAAACTGAGGCTTGGTTGAATAAATACCTAATAGAGGTTTGCTCATAAGCCATGCCCAAAAAATCTTATTAAGTCTAATACTCGTAATATAGTACATAATGAAATTTATAATTAATACGCCAGAATAATAAAAAATAAAAAATCGGTCTTTCAACGATCAGCGTTTGCGTAAAACCTACTGAAAATTCGGGTTATTATCAATTTGACGCATTGTGACAAAAAAGTACTTATAGTTGTCAATAAAATTCATTACACTCGTATTAATTTGAAGCAAATTATTTTGGAATATTATTCCATACACTTTTATGACGAATTTACTTTCAATGTGTGGAACTTACAAGTATGACGAATTGCCTAAGATGTGACAAATCAACAATAACACAAAAAAACATATTATCTCATCTTAGGTCATCGATTACCTTGACACAGGATACGAAGTCATACTGAAGGAATGTTACATGAAACTATTTAAATGCCTTTGGAGGCAACATTGTTCTTGCAAAATGTATGTTACGTAGCAATGTGTGCACATTAAAAAACTACATACTACAGCTTATAATGTTGCCATCACTCTTGGGCTATATTTCACCGGGACACCATGGCGGAGCCACCAGTCGCCGGCTACCAACAAAATGTTATACGGCTCTATAGAGAGTTACTCACCTGGTGTCCGTTTGGTTGCGCAAAGCTGTATACATTGTTGGTAGCGGCGACTAGTTGCGCCGCCATGGTGTCCCGGCGAAATATAGCCCTTACACAAAGCGAAAAGTAAACAGCTTTTTAGAGGAGCTCTGCAGCTCATTTAGTCTCCACTGCTGGAGCAAGACTAGTTTACAGGAAGCAAATGGAGGATTTGGTTTCCTTCCGCGGAGAAAGCGTATGAAATGCAACTCTATGCAGCAAAATATTGTGTACCCAATAAAAAGCTACCTATATTATAATGTAATGGGACAGGAACTGTAATGGCAATAAAACCCAAAATCGATTATTTTTCTTTATTGTTTTTCATTTTCATAAAATCCACGTCTTGTGGACAACACGAAACTAGTATTTCAATAAAATACATTACAACATCAAATAAGCTTCCCTTTTTAAATATGCAGTCAAAGATTTTCTTTATTATGGCGATTTTATTTGTGGTGATCGTCAATGCTACGTCACATCCAAAATTCCGCGTTATTCAAGGAGTAGATGATGAAGACAACAAATATCCTTACGTGGTTAGCTTAGAAGGGCTTCAAAGTAAAGTTCCTGGCCTGGAGTTCTACCGCATGTGTACAGGCACTCTTATAGCTCCAGAATGGGTATTAACAGCAGGGCATTGTCTGTTACCACAGTTGGAGATTGTCAGATATGGAAATATGTCCATCCCGAGGAATGCCACCGAATCCACCAGGAGAATTCTGAAGAGAATACCCCATCCCAACTACAAAGGTGCCTTATTTATTAAATCCATTGCTATAATAAAAAACGACATCGGTTTGGTTTTAGTGGAAGAAATACAGATGATGGTACTTGGCAAGTTATCAGCTGTAGATTACAGAACATTAAATGGAGAGAAAGTGACGTATGCTGGTTACGGAGGAACTGGCGAAACTTTGGATGTGTATAAGCCACTTCAGCTTGGTGAAAGCATGGTCCGTTCTTGTCTACAATCTAATATCCCCGATCCCCGAATTCCTTTTGATATAAGGGATTGGGGGCCGACTCTTTGTGCGGTGCCCAAATGTACGTTGAAGGACCATGCACCAGGAGCAGGGGACTCGGGAGGGCCAGTGTTCCTCAATGACAAAGTTGTCGCAGTAATCAGTGGTAATAAATATTTAAGTTTTAGTATTTTTTTGTATAGCTTGCACACTCCGGTCAGTCCTTATTTAGACTGGATTTGGGCAACTATGAACACTCACGAAAGTGCTGAAGCAAGACGTGCAAGGAAGAACAATATCTCCCGTGCTCCCGTCAGTTGGTGGTCCGTTAGCTAAAGATGTTTCATTGAACATGCTTCTTCTGATCCGATATAGAAAACTTTTTGTGTTAAATGTAATATTGAATAAATGTGAACTACATTGGTACACAAGAATTATGTAACATTGTTTGCTATCAGTTGCTACGTGCGTTTTATAAGATTACATACATGCAATCGTATGAGGCGCAATAAAATTCTTCGCATAAAACTTTGCTGAAATAAAATTTTATGTTGCCTTAGGCAGCCAAGACAACATTAAAACATATTTTCTTAAACTAAGGAGACGCGTGGCTGCAGGCGCCGCGGTACCCGACGCGGGGCGCTGTCAAACAAACATACAGGGTAAAAACAAAAATGATCATTTCTAAACTATACAAGGTATCGAAAATCTGGTTACTGATCCTGAAAGTGCTTCACACAAGCATTTTCAAACGGTAGATACCATTAGTAGGTTACACAATAAACTGCATTTATCCAAAAATTCAAAGTTTTCAGCTTCCATACTAAATATATTATTATGTGTCTAAGATACGAAGTGTATTTTTTGAAGTAAATAATAAACTCTAAAATTGCATTTTTATTAAAAATTATTCATGGAAACATTACTTTATAGGCTTTACTTGCTATATCAAGAGACTAGTGCCATGACTGTGGTAGTACTAAATGTATGGAAGATGGAAACATAGATTTTTCGGATAAATCCCGTTTATTCTGTAACCTGTCGCGCTCGCACACTCACTGCGGCAGCAATATTTTATAATTACATGAGAGCGATAAGGATGGGGAGCTTGGGGTCATTGGACGAAATTCTATCTGCTCGGCGACCGGACTTCAAACAAGACTGACAGGATGAAAGAAAGCTGCGGTTACCGCTACAGGTGTCGCGGCAAGTGACGTTTGTGTGGGCCGCTGCGGCCTGTGTGGCGTGTATAGCGCCCCCCGTTCTTCTGTAAGTGAAACTAAGCTTGCCGCCTCTCCATGAACGGAGAAAATTGACGCCGCGCAGCTCGCTTCCCTTTAGAGTAGGCGCACACCGTTGATTTTTAGTTGGCCGATAGTTGTGAAAGATTTTAATTTGTATGAAGAATCGGCCAAATCGAATCGGCGTAGTGTGCGCACTCCCATACATGCCCATACTGATCAACTGCCACACTAAACTATCGGCCGATAAAAAATCAACGGTGTGCGCCTACTTTTAGTCCACGTTCGTAACTGAAATTTGAAAACCAGCTACGGACATGGATTTTTTTTTGCTTGATAACCAGTTATAAAAAATAAATTTACTTGTCGTTTTTGTAACCGTGTTTCATAACCAGCTATGAAAATGGTTTGTTTTTCCTCTGTTCATAACTGGTTATTAATGAATAAATATTTTATCCACTTTTGTAGCCGAGTTTACGTAAATTTAACGCGTCAAAAACACAGGCGTGTCTGTTCTCCGCAAAACGAAGTCCATTTCTTATGGCTCCAACATTCCGAGGTGTGCCTGTCAAAATCACCGAGCGACTGCAACTCTTGGGCATTGAAATGTCCAGCAAGCTGAACTTTGGCGAGTACATCGAATCCATAGCGAAAACTGCTGCCAAAAAACTTGGTATCCTCTCGAGGGCAAGGCAGTACTTCTCCAAGAAGCAAAGGCTGCAGCTTTATAAAGCACAGATCCGACCTTGCATGGAATACTGCTGCCACCTCTGGGACGGCTCTGCCAAGAAACATTTGGCTGCTTTGGATTCGGTGGAAAGGCGTGCCAGAAGACTTATCGACAGCCCTACCCTTGTTGAAGCGGCGCTCCAGGAACTTGACCATCGCCGTAAGGTAGCATCCCTATCGGTTTTCTACAGGCTACACTTCGGAGAATGTGCGAAAGAATTACACGAATTAATTCCACCAGCCCCCTTCCAACATCGGGGAACCAGACGCAGGTTAGCGTATCATCCCTATATTGTTGACATTCCACCAGCTCGCACTAAGCGTTTCGATGACTCTTTTATAATGCGAACAGCTAGGGACTGGAATTCGTTGCCTGCTTGCTGTCTTTCCCAAAAACTATAATCCGGGCCTCTTCAAGGCGAGAATGAATAAGCACTTACATGGCAGATATGTACCATCCTAGACTGCATCCCACTTAACATCAGGTGCGATTGTGGTCAAATACCTGCCTTGTTATGCATAAAAAAAAAGATGTTTTTATCTGTTCCTAACTTTTCTATTTTTAATCAATCAAAATTCAAAATTATCAATTAAAATATTATTAATCAATAATCAGTTATGAACAGAGAAAAAATAAACAATTTTCGTAGGAGCTGGTTATGAAACATGGTTACAAAAACGACAAGTAAATTCCATTTTCTTAACTGTCATAACACATTTTAAAGGACATGTCAAATTATTGCCTACAGAATCCAAATTAATGCAATCTATCGACTTTCAAGCGATATGCTCTCCACCGGAAACATACAGGTTTTTAAGTGGGTACCAGGCCCTATTCTTCTGGTTAGAGGAGTCCTACATTACCCATCATCATCATCTCAGCCATACGACGTCCACTGCTGAACATAGGCCTCCCCCAATGCTTTCCATGTTGCCCGGTTGATAGCGGCCTGCGTCCAGCGCCTTCCTGCTACCTTTATGATTTCGTCGGTCCACCTTGTGGGTGGACGTGGCACGCCGCGTTTTCCGGTACGCGGCCTCCACTCCAGAATCTTGCCTCCCCATAGGAGGTAAATTTAGAAAATATTTTCTGATTGCACGGAAAGAGCAGTGTTGGTATGGTACTCTACCGTAACTAACACAGCAAATTTCCTTGTACCCAATAAAAACTACAGTTTAATGTAAAAGGATAGGTACTGTAATACCAATAAAACCAAACATCGATTACATTTTCATAAAATCTACCTGTAGGAAATACGAATCTAGAATTTGAATAAAATGTATTGTACTATAAAATTTTATTAAGTTTAACTTTAAAAAATGCAATCTAAGATTTTCATTATTATGTCAATTTTATTTGTGGTGTTTGCCATTACTACATCACATCCCAAATTCCGCGTAATTCAAGGAGTTGATGATGAAGACAACAAATATCCTTACGTGGTTAGCTTAGAAAGTCTTCAAAGTCAAGTTCCTGACCTGGAGTTGTACCGCATTTGTACAGGCACTCTTATAGCTTCAGAATGGGTATTAACAGCAGGGCATTGTCTGTTACCACAGTTGGAGATTGTCAGATATGGAAATATGTCTAACCCGAGGAATTCCACCGAATTCTCCAGAAGAATACTGAAGAAAATACCTCATCCCAACTACAAATTATTCTTTAAACGTACAAATGACATCGGTTTGGCTTTAGTGGAAAAAATACCGATAATTGTACTTGGCAAGGTATCTTCTGTAGATTACAGGACTTTAAGTGGACAGAAAGTGACGTATGCTGGTTACGGAAGAACTGGCAAAAGGAAGAAAAATAAGTTGTTGGAAATAAAAGAAATATTGATGGATCACTTTAAGACACTTCAGCTGGGTGAAAGCATGGTCATTTCTTGTCCACAATCTGATATCCCCGATGAAAAAATAGATCGAGGGCCGGCGCTATGTGCGGTGGCCAAATGCACGTTGAAGGATCATAGACCAGCAATGGGGGACTCTGGAGGGCCAGTGTTTCTCGATGAAAAAATTGTCGCAGTTGTCAGTGGTGGTAAATTTTTAAATAATGATGACTTGAATAAATTTTTGTATGAGATTCACACTCCGGTCAGTCCTTATTTAGACTGGATAAGGGCAAATATGAACACTCATGAAAGTGCTGAAGCAAGACGTTTAAGGAGGAACAATATCTCCCGTGCTCCCGTTAGTTGGTGGTCACGTCGAAGCTGAAGAGCTTGTTTGGTAGATGGTGCTAATAACCTTTTGCGCTATGCACATTTACTGCGGATGCCTATAGGCTAATTACCATTCTGGTACAACTAATTCCTATTGGTGCTATTCCTACTCCTACAGAGCGTCATAAAAAACTTTGCAAAATCCTCAAACGACTTTCACGCGTATGAACTCGAGGGCACAGTTCAGTTCTAATACTAAGGCAAACTTTGACAAACGTCAAAAATCTGTCAAACTCCATACAAAAACCACCGGTTATCGTTAAAGTTACAGTCAAAGTTAGATGGTGCAACTCACCCTTATTATCAATAAGGGTGACATCTGAATATTTGATAGGTTACAATTAGAATAATTTAACATTGTTCACTATTAGTGAAATTATACTATATTTTATGTATTTATCCGCTAAAATAATAAAAATATCGCTTTCCCACGTTGTTTATTTTAAACGAAAAAGAAATCGGTTATTGTCGATTTACCACAAAGTCAAATAAAAAGCATTTGCCACAAAGTCAACGTCACGAAAATAGCTTTTGTAAATTCGTCACACTTGTATTAGTTTGTAGCAAATTATTTTAAATATTGCTTTATGTTTATGACGAATTTACTTTCAATGTTTGGAACTTGCAAAAGTCTGCGGCGGCGGTTTTACTCGGTGCGTATGAACAGTGCAAAGGCGCCGGCGACGGCGCGGCGGCGGCGCGGCAGCGGCGTCGTATGCAGGAGCGCTAAAAGCGTAAATATTCATAGTTTGTCATCAAATCTCAGGTCATCCATTATCTCGAAAAAGGATACGAAGTCATACTTATAATACTATAATAAGAAACTCCTAATACAGGCTGAATTTTCAAACAGTTGCCAAATTAGGAGTGATTCAGAATCAGTAATTTGTGATATCTCGCTCGCTCAGTGGGCGTAGTGTGAGTTTACATCAAAGACATTCGACATCGACTGCGTTAAAGGCTTCCACAGA